CACACACACATATATATATATATATATATGTATATATATTAAAATATCAGTAAGAAGTATTGAACCAAGGACTATGGACTAAATGTAGAAGGCAACAATGAGGTCATACCTTTCTAGACTCTCTGGAGCTCCTAAACCAGCAATCAAATTGGAGGAAGAATGGTCACTAAATAATGTCTGAAATACAGTTAAAAATGCTTAAGATATATTAAATATTCAGCTTTCAACTATTTGAAGTATTTCACAGGCAACAATCTGAACTAAATCTGAAGAGAAAGAATAATTCCCATACTAAATCACAAGAACACAATTACCGAAAATCAGAAATTATCATACATGGTACATAATCAACACTATGCAATATACAATATGTAAGTACAAACAAATTTTGAATTTAAGTCCAAATAATAGGATCTGTTATCAACAATACAGTAGTTTGTATGTGACAAAGAAAACAGCAGATTTTTTATGAGTATGAGAAAACACTAAAAGCAAGGTCTGTACCTGATCATATAACTGTTTAATGTTTAGTTTAACCCGGAGATGCTTTTCAAGAACTTCTTGAACAACAAACTTCTCATCCTCACTCCGTAGCCTTTCTGCCAAAAGAAAATAGCCATCTTTGGCCAAATCTTCATAAGAGTTACCAAATCTCTGGTAACGATCGGCCCAGCGAAACAAGTCTCTAGGTGTTATAAATCCATGTTTACCAGCAAAGACTCTGCTACTCTGTCTGTGCAACCGAAGATCCTTCATGACTTCAACCATTTTCTCAGCATAACCTACGTAGATTTTACATCTCTCCGCCAATATTTTGCTGAGCTCATCATCAGGTATTTCACCAACATGAATCTCTACAAAACGATTACGAAATGCTCGGGACAACATTTTGCGACCACCATAAAGTGTAGGTGGATTTTGAGTGGCAAAAAGCATGAAGTTTGGATTTGCTTGAATTCTTTCTTGCAGTTCAGGAACATAAAGCTCTCTGTTATCATCAAGTAATCGATTCAATGCCTCCAGCACATCAGATGGAGCCAAATTAAGCTCATCCAGTACAATCCAGTAACCATTTCTAACAGCTTTAACCAAAACACCTTCATTAAAAACAAGTTTTCCACCTGCATCAGTTATGTAAGAACCTAGATACTCTTGCAAATCAGTGTGTTCATGATTATTGATTCTCACAAAATCATGACCAGTTATTGCAGCAAGATACCAAACAAGGCTAGTTTTCCCACTAGATGTGGGTCCCTGTAAGAGGACAGGATATCTCATAAGAACAGCCCGGGCCAAATTCCCAAGATGCTCCTGTACAGTTTTGGTTTGAACATAATTCCCTGAATATCCAACAGATTTCGAGGAATCCAAATAGGCAGAAAAAAGCTCGAATCGAGGCATATGCCCTCCTAACAGAAGAGATAATATTTTTCGCCTCATTATTTCAGCACTGGATCCATCCAACAATGAAACAAAAAACATACTAAACCCATCATATAAAGCCTTTTGAAATCCAAATTTTCTCTCTGCCTTCCGCATATACTCTAGAGCACGGTAAAGGGACCTTAAACTGTATTGAGGTTTCTGGTTAGCACCATCCTGCAACCTCTCTTCAGATTCCTTTTTCGCTTCTTTATAGAAACACACAATTTTATTCACCAACTGTTGATCCATATAGCCACTACTAATGAACTGACTGATAAATAGACTTAAATCCTCATCATCCAAAACATCATCAACAAAAATCTCGGTAAATCTACTCCTCAAAGAAAAGGGCAAATCCCGCTTCCCTGCATCTGTTGCTGGATTCATGCAGGCAAATATACGGAAATTTGGATGGCGATGTATATAATCCGTATCACCTCTTTCAGCTAAACACAGTACACCATGTTCCCCTTCTAGAACACCAACAATTCTTTGCAAGGTTTCTGGAGGAGCCAAATTCACTTCATCAAGCAAAATCCACTCACCATTTTTAAGAGCAGTTACAAAACTTCCTTCTACAAAAGAAAACATCATCGTCGAAGAAGGATTACTTTGAGACACACTCTTCAGTTTTAAACAAAATTTCTCCCAATCTTGGATTGACTCTTCTTCTAGTGGCCTTTGACGCCTTTTGGAAGATCCAGGTTGTATAAGCTTAACTGACATTGCAACAGCACTTCGCAAATTTTTCAATAGAACTTCCCCATTCTTATCAATTAAAAACTTTTGTCGATGACTTCCTAACGACGCACGTACTTTAGTAAGAAAGTCTTCATTTTTCTGAACAGCAGCAAAGCATTATAGCCATAATAAACAACTGACACTAAATATGAATAAAAAATAAAAACAACAAATACCTTTTTTGAAAATGTCTTGGTAAAGAGAGACATAAAATCGTCATAAAGGGACAAATACACAGACAGACCATCCGTAGGCTTAAAACCCCCTAGTAAGTCAGCAACATCACTTTGCTGACTCAGGTTCTGGAGAAAAAACCATCATCATGTGTCACTCAAACACACTTGTAACACAAATATAAATAACAGAAAATAATAGGGAGATAGAGAAAATGTAACATACAAAAACAGTAAGCTTTTGACCAAGCCTTGAAGCCAAATTTTGAACAATTGTAGTCTTCCCAGTACCAGTTTCACCAACCAAGAGGACAGGCTCATTAAACTTGACAGAGCAAGCTATTCGCTCCAAAACATGCAGAGAACTACGGATCTCAACAAAAGGTCTTTTATTATGTTGTAACTGAAAATGAAACAAAGGAAAGAAGCAAAACCAAGGAAACATGAGACTTTTTACAAAAATTGTATCATCATTTCAACTTTAAAAAGTCAACTGACTATACTGAATACTGACTGAATTTTTATGGAGGGAAACTCGGCCTATTTTTAAATCTGTGACAGAATCCTGCATTTAAATCCAGAAATAAGTAGTTGATATGGCAAAATCAAGAAGCAAAGATTCGTACTTCACTAACTATAACCTGAATTATAGGTTTGTCACAGGGATACAAGGCCTCAGCAGCAAAAACTGGTACTTTCCACAACTCTGCTATCTCTTTCATTATTGACAAACGATTTTTAATTGAAGATGAAAAGGATGCAAATACATCAACAGCCTGAGATACAACACAATAGCAAAACATGTAGTAAGTCTAGGGAAGAAATTATGACGAATTGAGAAGATAAAAAGATTTTTAAAATCATACCTCTTTATACACACTAAAACATTGGTTTTCTGATAAGCTACCATCAAAGTAAAAACCAACACCTTCAATCCTTTTGCACCATTTAAGGAGATCCCTACCATGGATAATCAAAAGTTGCAACAATTAAAGAAAATTGACAAAAACAAGCAAAAAACCCAAAATATTTTTTCTTTAATTACCTTAATGAGAACCTGCAGGGGCAATAAACAGAAGCAGAACTTCCCGGAAGAGAACCCACAACTTGAAGCATGGAAATAGAGTTAACCCTTTCAAAGGTTTCTGCCAAAATATTTAGATATCTTCAGCAATATAATAATGACTGAGCTCATGTTAACTGCTTGCAATGGTACAAATACATGTGTATCTGTCTGCAACTATAAATTAAAAAAAAATTATCAATACCTATGAGTTTTCCAATGTGAGGATCCAAATTTGGATGCCTCACTTTGATTATCTGTTGCAAGTCTTTATTATCCAGTGCCGGAATCATCACTCGTCTCCAAAAAACACCAAGTGAATTTTGACCTTCCAGTACAAAAGAGTTGTAACTCATTTAAAATATATATATATATATATATAAAATAAAATTAAAAAAAGGAGAACAATAGAATTTTCATTCAACAACACCTAAGTTTTATCGCTAGGTCAGGTAGCACATGGATCTAAAGATATTATTAGTCTCAACCTAAAACTTTACAAAAGCAATTTTCTAAAACTGATGGACAATTGAAAACAAAGATGCATGCATCCTGGGGCAAACAAAGATACAATTCCCAAGATAAAATTAATGGTGCATAGTTTCCACCAGAGAAACAAAGTGCGAGAAACAATTGTGTGCCTTAATGGTGCATGCGTCATGTTTCAACCAACTGTACCAAAGGACTGCATTTACTGTGCACACTTCAACAAAATGTTGGTCACTTTCTTACAACCAATGTTCAATGGAAAGGATCCCTACTAAATTACTAAAACTAGCAGGGATATCAGCAAAACAATATAAATTACAATGGAATAGAAAATTGAGAAGTAAAGTTAAAACCTGCACTCTCTGAAGTGTCAAACTTAGAAACAGCAATAGTTGAAAACATTCTAAAACTTTCAGCCACCCTTACTACCTGCGAAATAAGCAATACTTCAGCAATTAGTGCCAGGCCAAGTACAAAGGAAAGGACAGGGAAACAAATATGAAAACAACCCATTTAGCACTCTTGTAATGTGTGACCCACTTTCCCCAAAACAAAATATTATAATCTTAGGTTAATCGAGGCCTTAAAAGATGACAAAGGATCCTACCATCATTACAAATCAACCACATCTCAACAAAATTATTATATTAATCATAGTAATACAAGAAATTCAACAGCAAAAGGACAAATTATGCTGTGTGCACAGCATTTTAAAGCAATTGAACAAAAAGAACCAGATGAAAATTTTTTGCAGAAGTTTCCTCTCCTGTCCACTGTGTGATTGGTTAGATTTTTTACCTCATTACGGCATTTGGCTGTTTAGCTTTAGAAAATATTTTGTATTTTCATACTGTAATGTTTTCACTTTGATTCCGATTTTCATAAGCTTGTATAATTTATTCCTATCTTCGAAAATGAGTAAGATGTCTTGTACAATCTTTTGAAAACAAGAAACAAAGTTGCATTTTTGTAATTAAAAATGAAAACAAAAAAATCTATCAATTTAACTTTTTTTAACAAAGAGTTTATTAAAAAGGAGAGACAAAACTGTAAGACAGACCCTCAAGCTATCATTTTAAGCCCTGTTCAGTATGGTTGATAGTTTTAAATTTTAAACAATTTCAAAACTAAAACCAAATTTTAGTTTTATAATTTTTAATTTCAATTTTTCAAGAGTTTCAGTTTTCAAATTTTAATACAAGAAATAAATCCTCTTAGAATGTAGGTTTGGTCCTAACTGAATCCTACAAAGCTAGCTTGTAAAATGAGGATCGTTTCCCACCTAAAAACTCTATGTTAGCCTTGTCTCTGATCGATATGAGACTTGAGTTTTAACCAATTTAACCTTTCACACCCTGCACTATTGGGCTTGTTACATGGATAAACAATGGGTGGTCCATTTTTACATGATCTAGGCTAGGATAGGTGGGACATAAGTTTTTCCCAATACACACTCTCATGCTCAATACTATTGGGCTTGGTGTGCATATAAATGGTGGTGGGTGACCCCTTTTTAATGGATCTATGGTATCTTAAATATCATCTTAAGAAAGAGGATTAGGAGATCGTTTTTGTTAAGTAGAGTGCAAAGAAATCACCTCCCCATGTCCTGTTGCAAATGAACTGGCCCCTTCCAATAAAGGCATTAATATAGAGTGTAAATCAGAAGGTGCTTTGTTGATATCCTCAAAAACAATCCACAAGCCATTCTGCACAGCCTGAAATAAAGTACCAAAAAGTAAAATAAGCTTACTAGCAATTATCTAGAGGCACATATAGCGAGAAATCTGCATCAGTTCTATGATTAGATATGATAGACAAAATTAAAACAAACCTGGGTAAGCGAGCCAGGCTGCCATCTAAACTCCCCAGGTCTATCTGTACAGACATAAGCTCCAACTAATGTTCTACCATCAATTTGATCATCCATCTGGATAAATAGGACTGCAAAACAACACAAGAACATAAACAATTATTAATGTAAACAGAACACATTAGGGATCCAATTGCGAGGTATGGAACTTGAGTCCCACATTACTTATGCGATACTACTGTGGGATTTTGTAAGGCCTTGGGCTCTCAACTGCAAAAGCTAGCTTTTAGGGTATGATTCTTCCAAGGCTCTTATCAAAATAACAAAACATATAAAATAAAAAATAAAAAGGCAAAGAGTTTTGCACTGAATAAATACCAACTACCTAGTCTTATCCAAGTCATTTACCAAGGAAACCTCCTCGAAGATACAAAAGTTCCACTCTAACAAAATATACAGTAATGTAACACAGTTTACACATTGGAACAAAAAATAGCCTCCACTTCATACAAAAGTTAAAAACTATGAAAACTAATCATCAAAAATTAGTCCACAGACCTAAGACACATCAAAATTCACCAGAAATGATGAATATAAAGTTCCATAAAAAATAGCACCAGAATGGTGAAAAAACAGATGAGATACAGATTTTGAGCATGCCCCACAAATTACATACCAAGGGAACGAACCTTAGTTGACCATGAACTCACCAATATATCATTGGTATTAACTCTATCGAGAACCAAAATCCAAATAAAAGACTAAATCTCATCTGAGTCTTGCATTTCAATAATTGTTTATCAGGAAGAAAAGTATTCTTATTCAAAGAAAAAGTGAGAAATTGAAAAACAAAATAGACCCAACAAACTTACAGCAGGATCGAGGGACCAAATCCTTTTATTCAAGCAAGATGACAAATCAAATGAACAGTGTCAAATAGACCCAAAAAAAGATTCTAATTTAGAAAATGACCATCATCTAAATTTTGGAAAACGATCATAAAAAATAAAAAAATAAAAAGATTCTTGGACACAAGTAAAAAAAATAATAATATCCATAGGTCCTTCAAAATTTTAACATAAGTCACTGCCCACCTTCAAGTAAAGCAAAAACTTAAAGTAACATTGAGAGGACAAATAAAGCATGAAGACAAATCAAATGAACAGTGTCAAATAGACCCAAAAAGGGTTCTAATTTAGAAAATGACCATCATCTAAATTTTGGAAAACGATCATAAAAAATAAAAAAATCTTGGACACGAGTAAAAAAATAAATAAATAATATCGATAGGTCCTTCTAAATTTTAACATAAATCAGTGCCCACCATCAAGCAAAGCAAAACCTTAAAGTAACATTGAGAGGACACTTCTCACTCACTTGTTAACATTTTAGTTCAAGGACTAAAATGACTAAAATGAAGAGAGCTCTTCATGGCAATGTTGATATCTCACTCACCTGGATCTAAACCATGATATGGATAACCTGGTGCCAAAGATAGGAAAGATCCAAAAATACAAAATTGCCAAAGCCATTTTAGCTGTCAAAACCACTCTTGGACACAATTTTGAAGTCCCCAACAGACTCCATTCTTAGGACAAAACACGCCTCCCATTGCTCCCAAGTCACCAATGATCCCATTTTGTATGTGACACAACAGAAAAAATCCCTCTCTATTTTTCTACTATTTGAGCAACTCCCACTGGAAATAGAGAAAGTACAAGAGAGAAGAGACTATAGAAAAAAATACTTGGAGGTCAGCCTTGAAAAAGGGTAATCTGATCCGACCCCAAAGAAAATGAAAAATAAGCCCCTGTTCAAAATATCTATGTGCTTAGAGATTTTATTCACTACTGGATACAAAAAGGAGGCAGCTCTAAGAATATGGCCTAAAGGAAACAAGAGGCCAATCCTAGACAGGACAACCAGCCATTATGGAGAAAGAGGAAAAATTGTTGGGTCCACATTACATCTATCTAAGACATTGATTTAAGATTTTCAGCCCAGAAGCACATTCAAAAGGCATAAACAGAGTGAGGGCATTACAAAAGCTCTCTGTATCCTCAAATAAAAATAAAATGGTATCATTAGCATTAGCAAATTGCAAAACAGGAATGACAATTCCCTCTGAACCAACTTTAACTCTTTTTGTGAAAATTAACACCAGATCTAGAAATATTATCACTAAGTAAGGACATCCACCATAAAATTAAACAAAAAAAAAAAAAAGACATCCAACCTCCATCCATGTCACACCATAATGCCACACATGAAAATTTATTATGACAAAATGAACAATAAATCACAGTAAAAATTCTACAAATGCCAAATAAAAATTAAAAAAACAAAAACAAATAATTTGTCAACTAGCACATATGAAGTGCACTGTATATTTAATGTCCACGAAGAAATCACATCAACATCCCTGCTTTCACACCTATTAACAGTTGCATTTAAGTGCTCACGAAAGTAAATATCAAAAATAAATTTCAAAAAACTAGCATACTTCAACAAATGCCACCATGGTGGGTATAAAACCAATCTTGGTTACCATCATCCATGAAACATGTAATGAAAACTAATTTACCCAGAGTCCAACCCACAAAGCCAACAACTTCCTAATAAAAATTATAAAATAAAAAAATAAATAAGATATGTTATTTCAACTCTATATGCTCAATTAATTTGCAGACAAGGAAAAACAAAAAATAATAATACATAACCAGTAAATATTAAGGCATACCTTGGTTTCCACTATCCTGAGCCAGCTTGGCAATCAGAGCAGATTTTCCAGAACCAGAGGGACCATATAAAAGAACAGGCCACTTCTGACTCACTGCTAAAAGAACTCTATCATAACTTCTCTTCACCGCTGAGGTTAATATGAATGTGTTACTTAATGATACATCATCCCTAAAATTACAAAAAAGATATCAAAATTCAAGTGGTAATCCAAATGAAATACAGAATATCAGTAAGAATTACCAAAGAGAAGCCAAAAGAAATAAACAAAGGGAAAGCATAAACGGATCATTTAAAATAGTTCAAGCACTAAAAAGAAAGCAAGTGTTTAAAATCAAATTATTCCAATACAAGTCAAAAACATCAGTGTTTCAAATCCAAATAAAATAAGCCGTACCTTGTGGTAAGCCGCTGCCTCTTAAAAGGTGGTTGTAACTCGTGAAGTTTTGGTGAATTAACAGGAAGATAATTAAAGCCAAAGGATTTTAAACAGTTCTCATTATTGAAATCCATACTTCTATCTGGAGAATCAGACACATAGTCTGGTATTGGCTCAACACACCAACCAGCTTTCTCGAGTGAGGTGTCTTGACAGAACTCTTCCCAACTGAATTCAGCAAGTTGAAGATTGCAATTAAACATGAACTACATTTTAAGTACAATATATACAGATGAAAAGAAGTAAACAACACTGACCGCAGTAGACAAGAAAATGCTTCCTCAGCTCCAATATTTAAGTTTTCAACAGCTTTATAGCCTAATTTGAGCAAAACTCTTAATATCTGCACCATGCACCATGTAAGATCTGGTTTGCATGGGTCTTTTACGAGTTCCAGAAAACAAGACCAGTCCCAACGCTTAGAGAAAATTTCAGGTTCCATTAGAAGGAGGCGGTATGATATTTGGGCAACATGCAATTCATGGGTCTCAACCTGTAAGAATAAGGCATTACTTGGCAATATGAAGAAGCATGTCTCAAAATTGTTTCTCAAGAAAATATTTACAGAAGATATACTGACCGTAACTTGTTTCACCGAAAATCTTTCAAATGGAGCAGGAGCAAAATTGAAATAGCTTAATATAGAGCTGAATCGAACAGAAAAAATAGATGATCAGATAACGTTATTAAAAATTAAATTAGAATATAACAAGCTAGAACAAACCTTAGACCACTAAAAAAATTTGACAGGAAACCATCATCCATTATGAAAAGGACATGCCATTTGTGAAGATAGGAAGATAGATAATAACTTGATACCACAAACAAACTACCATATTCTTTATAATTATGCAGAGATTCAGCACTGAATTGTAAATGGGGTTGGAGGGATAGAATATAGAAATTGAAAATAAAACCATTAATACAATGATCTCCAATTCCACACGCACATATACCTTACTTTTTTGAAATACAAACTTGTCACGTCATGCGAAGATAACAGTTATACTGTTGCATTTTGGAAAGTATAAGCAGACTTTCTTGTCATTAAATAAGATTTTACACTAAACCAGCCACAGAAACAAAGAAAGTAAATATAGAAGAAACATTTTACATTCCTAGGTTTTTTATGATAATAATCAACACAAATCATCTTTCTACCAAAATCATACGAATATCACACCTATGAAAGCACAAATAGGGTAAGACAAACAGAGCATGAAAATTAGATGCATAAGCTAAGCTCTATAGACAAAGTTATTGAAAACTATGCTCAGGGTAGGTATCAACCTCAGAAGAAATGAATCCATGTCAAGAGCCCTACAGAAGGCTAGACAAGCAAGCTCATGAAGATCAAGACCCCTTCCCTGTTGACTATAAAACTCTATGACATTCACAACTCCATCCAAAACTCTGTCACGATCTTCTTCAGCAGAAGTATCCTCAGGATTAGACCTCAAATTTGGCACAAGACGAAGCAATGCAACAGCCTTATCAACAATAAGTCGAGCCATTGGACGGAAACATCCCATCAATGGAATTGTATAACTGGGGTGCAGAAACACTCCAACTAAAACACTAACTACTTCCTCTTCCCTGACCAAGTCTCCCTGCGCACAACGAAAAAAATAATAAAATAAAAATCAATGAAAAAAATATTCCTCCAAAAAGAGCATGTAGTAAGAACGCATAAGCACGGAAAAACACAAATAAATAAGAATAAAATAACAACCAACGCAAAAAGCTTCCTATATCAAGACTGCAACAACAGAGGAATGAATTGAATTGAACTCTTTACATGCAAGCTGATCATAAATTTATACGAAAAGCAAGCAATGCAGAGGATTGAAAATTGAAGCAATACCTTCTGTACGAGCGACTCAAACTGCGGAAAACTCTGGAGCTTGGGGCAGCGATCGAGAAATCTCCGAAGCGAAGAATAGAGGCTGAAACTACCGTCAATCGCCATTCCAAACTGAAACACTTATCTATAAGATGAACAGTGAAAGAGTATTGTATTGTATATATAAAAAGCAAAATATTCAAATAAAAATACGCAAGGAAAGAAAAAAAGAGTGAATAGAGTAGGTTAGGGTTGTCAGTGTTGGCGTTCGTTCGCTCGCTCGAGAAAAGTTTTCCGTAGGCTGTGGTGTTTGTGTGACGGGTGCTCTCAAGCTGGACGCAGCAAGTCTCTTCACGAAAACTCTCTGCTGTCTGTGCTCGTGCGGGGTTTTAGGGTTTAACAGAAATTATATATATACGTTGTTGGTTATCACTAAATCGACTTAATATATATTTTTATTTTGATTTGATTTGATGAACTAGAGAAAAGATAAAAAAAACTGTTTATTATAAAATAATGAAATTCTTTCGTTTCTAGATTTAAGATTTACTAACTATTTACTAGCCAGTTTAAGATAAAAAATAGAAGAAAAAAAATTATACAGTTGATAATATAAAAAAAAAAATTAAAAAAGTATTTTATTTTATTAAGGATATGAAGAGTTTTTTTTCAACACCTGAAGAGTATTTTTCTTAATAACTAGCTAACAGTTTAAAATAAGCCCTAAATAATCTTATATGTGATCATTTGTTTTTAAAATTAGAATTATTTTATTATATTATATTTTGAAGAAAAAATTATATCTGTCAAAAAAATTATTATATTTTTAATAAAAAATTAACAATGTTTATAAGAAAATAATAGATGTAAAAAAAGGAAATTAATATAAAGTATTAAACAATATTTTATTTAATTAAAATTTACTAGTATATAATTATAAAGTTAAATAGTAATAATATTCTATTGTAATTCATTATATATAATAAGTTTGTTGAGTTTTACTATTATTTTAAAATTCGTATAAATTGTAACTTTTGTGTATGACTATTAAATTTTAATTATAATAACATATTTAAAAATAGTTTTTTTACAAAATTTAAAAATAGATATAAATATATATTTAATCTCAACAAAATAAGTTTTAATTTTAGTTTTTATAAAATTTATAATAATTTTTAAAATAATAAATATGTAACGACTCGTAGTGGTCTTTATACATTTTAGAATATTAATTATACTAGTTAACTAGGATAAATTATTAAACTGAAAAACAAAATACATACATGTATACATATAAATAAAAACCATATCACCAAATATAAAATGGAATACTATGTATATATAGTCATTCAAATAATAATACTTTTTTAGTGTTGGTCAAGCACATCCTACTAGTTACCCAAAATGGTAATCCTGACATTAAGACAAAACTCCAGCGTCCAGCAGCCGTCAGCTCCAACTTAACTCTGACCTACTCCCATACATATTATGACTATCACAGTCCATCCACATGGAAACAGAAGGATAAACTAGAGTTCATAGAGTCAAACAATGCACTCTGTCACATAATAATCATGCAATACATGCAATTCATGACAGACATCCATACATATAAATCATTTAATGTGTTGTCACCCATTCACTTAGAAAATCTCCCTAATAACATAGTAGTATAAGTGACATTTTATCCTACCAAACCGTTTTCACGCCCAATATGTCCGCTCATCATAGTAAATCAGGATATAAAATCCCCACTCGAGTTTACACGAATAATGTCACTTACACACTTGGAAGTTCAATTTCATCGTCAGGTACAACACAACTGGATAAAAGGCTTACCACGATCTTGGCATGGATTACCAATTGTGGAGTTTCCCCACCAACTATCCGCTAGAAATCATGCACCTTTCCCAGTATTTGGTTAAAGGAATAACCTTCGACCTCATACTCGCTCCAATACTGGCTAAGGACTTAGAGGAGACTCATCCAACCCAATGGCATATCCAAGCATCACTCTCACTCAAAACCAGTGGCCTATCCAAACACCATTCTCAACCAAAACTAATGGTCTATCCAAGCACCACTCTCAAGAGATTCTACGTGAGCTCTTCCGGTCCAAAATATTTTTTCCTCTCCTCAAGTCCAAAGTTAAGCACATGCCACAAGGCACCACATGCAAACAATGCATCATACATCATGCATAGTTGATCCACCATCATGATCAATATCATCCACATAGGAACATGCATACATATCAAATCATATTACAAAACATTCATACATATCTTTCTAAGCATACATATGAACCACACATCACTTCACATCATATACCATACATACATGATCCAACATCAAACATCAAGACATGCTAAAGCATCACAGTTTAATTATGACACCAAGTTATAACTCACGCCTGGCACAACCCATCTTGCGCTCGAGCTAATCATAATTCGAGAGCTCCACGCTCTCTCATGCCCGACATTAGGGTACCACACCCGACGTCAATATAGTAGAGACTCTCCTAAGAAATTACGCCCAATGCAATTCATTTTGCACCGACCTCATGAAGTCAAAGACTTATAGGGTCTCCATGCCTGGTGTAATCATTCCTACGCCCGGCGCCATATCAGTAAAAGTCCACACACAATCACTCTCTGGTATCGTGTTCGGCGTAACTCATCCAGAGGCTCCCATCTCAAATCACGTCCGACGCGACTAACATTGTACCCGATGCAATCAGGAAATGACTACTTTTGTTAAATGCACGTCTGACACCAAGAACACACACCCGACGCAAATTTAAACAACAACAACCAAAACCCAGAAAATCCATCCAAAAGCTGCAAATCAGGAAATTTCGACCACATGCAATCCATACAAAACAACAAATACACTCCATACAATCCAAAAATTAACTCGGATTCAACATGCATCCATTACATGCACCAAAATCACCAATTCCCATTTTAGCCCGAAAACACTAAAACCCTGAATCCAACATAGAATCCCCCAAATCATGCATCAATTAATTAAGTTTCTAAACTCACAAGCAAATAATTCAACAACATCCTAGCTTTCCTCACCTGAAGATTGGCCCAAAACAGCCAAGAAGAGGAAGAAGGAAGAGAAAACTCCAAGCGGTCAACCTACAAACTTCAATCCGCCAAAAATAAGCTTTCTAGCCTGAATTTAAAGAAAATTTTGAAGAGATTAGTGATCCAGAGAAGAATAATTAAACAGAGAAATTTGATAAATAAAGGAGTTCATTGACCCAAAACCCTTCTTTCTAAAACTTTTCTCTAAAATTCTTTGAAAATGAGCTTATAAAACTCCGTTCTTAGAAAAACTATTATATACTTTTTTCTCTAGAGTTAACTAACTCTAAACAATTTACCTATTACGTACAGTGTTACAAAATAAATATATAAATTAAGATATAAGTTGTAAAAATGTAACATTTGAATTTATTAATATAAAAATATTTATTTTAACACAAGAATGGAGGATGGTGTGATATTTATATTTCTTAATAAATGTTGATGTAAAGAGTGTTTGGTAATAAATTTTTGAAACAAAAATTAAGAAACTTCAACAAAAAATTAAAACAAATATTAGTCAAATGTCATATATTCAAATCTATTGAGGAAGGAAAATACAATTTTAACAAATATTAGAAATGTATATAATTTACTCTAATTGTTATATATTTATCTCAAAATTATTATCATGGACTAAAAATAATAATTTTAAATTTTAGAGATAAAAATTAAAATATAAATATTTTTCAGAGACCAAAATCAAAATTTTCTCATTTTACGAGGACTAAAAAAATATTTATAAATTTTATAAATTTTTTTACTGAAATTAAAATCAAATATCGATCATTTTTTTTAGATTAAATTTTCTTTTTGATAAATTGATATTGACAAAAATATCCTCCAATTTTGTTAATTATACTGAAATTGGAAACTTTAAGACTTAAATATTAACAATAATAATAATTAAATAAAAAATATTAATATTAAAGCTTATTTAAATCTCAAAAATAATATAAACAAAATTCACTCATTTTTCATGGATTAAAAAGATATTTATACCATTATATAAGATTAAAAGTTATACGATCATCTCCTCTCTCGCTTTAAAAGTAAAATAACCTTAGTAATCCATAATAAATTATGGATGTCAAAATAACAATTGTTAATTTTCCCATCAATTAATAACTGAAATTACTTATTTTATCTTTATTCACTTGGCAAAAGAATATGTATTAATATATTTAAATTTGAATTTAAATATAATAATGCTTATTATTTTTATTTAAAATAAAATAGTATTTAAAGATTTTTAATCCAGGAGATAATTATTTAATTTTTATAATTAAAATTATTAATAAATAAATTTTAGTACTTTAGTATCTGGCGATGTGAAAAATCAATCTTTAACAAAACTTATAACAAGCAACTATTTTTAATAAATAATTTATAATAAGGTAAGATTTTTCTAATTATAGATAACTTTAAAAATGAAATTTTATTAAAATAAATATGAAAATAACAAATTAGAAAAAATAAGAGATTAACAAAATATTTATCAAAATAAACTCTAAAATCTTCTATTTAATCAACTCATCAACTCATACGTATTAAACAAGAATGTTTTTCTTGTGCAATAACTTTTTTAGAGACTTTTATTTAATGGAAAATTTTTAAGAAAATTTTTAAGAAATTTTTTAATTAACTTTTTTATCTAATTTGATTTGATTTATCATAATTATTTATAAATTAAATATTAAGATTTTTAAAAAATTAAAGATGAATAAAAATAATCTTGTGCTACATTAAAAAATTATTTATCGTAAATCTCAAATAAAATTATATTATTAAACATATCTATTTATATAAAATTTGAATATAATTTATATATTCAAATATAGTATTTTTTATATATAATTTATTATAAATTTTAATTATATATTAAATATTTAACATGTTTATTGTACATGTTAAAATACTAGTATTTTATGAAACCTTATAGTTCTAAAAATATATTTTCAAGTTCAATTTCAAAATTAATATTTTAATTTATGTGATGTACATGATAAATATTTATTTTATATAGCTATATTTACAATACATAAATAAATACTTTGGAATACATAAGCTATATATTTACATTATCAACTAAACTTGTAATAAGTATTTTTAAACAAAAAAGTTATACTTAATATTTATAATAAATAATTTATATTTTAACAAATTTTTTTTTTTATCGATCCTTCTATATACAAATTAGAATATAGGTTACTTAGAAATTGCACAAGTAAAATCTTGATCAGACTATATCAAAAGATTTTAATAAAGTAGTAAGTTAGCTTTGGTTTTATCCTAAATATCTAGGTTAAAATGATATCAAATTGTTTTTATAGTGTATAGAAAGACTTTAGATTTAAATCAAATTATAAAGAAACGTTTTATAGCAGAGTGCAAAAATACTTTGACTAAAGTTATATATGTAAATGTAAAATATTCATCGACTTTTGATTCCCTCGTCAAAAGTCGGTGAATATTTTACATTTACATCAAAACATGTTGTAAAACTTAAAAATAAACTATGACATGCCGTAAAATGTCTTTAATCATAAATTTTATGAATGATAAAATCTGTGTAATTTTACAAAGACTACTTTAAAAGTCATACCTACTTTCTATTTGATTACAATGTAACATGCAGTGCATAAATATTAAAAAAAAATTATGATAAAATATAAAGTGTAGAGTATAAAGAGCAACTGCATCAACATTCAACAACTGCACGCCATGCATGCATGCAGTTTATTCAAAAACGAGGAGAACTAACGTGGTTGTTCTTCAAAATCCCATATCCCTGATATTCGATTAAGCTCAGGCAAAATGATAGTACCAAGATCCGGTCTGTCACGTTTTCTCAACTCACAACACTTCAAGGCCAAGTTGGCAAATGCCATAGCCTCCTCCACAGGCCAATCTGTGACACTAGGATCAAGCACCTCGCTGAAGGTGCCTTTGTGAAGAGCCTTCTCAACCAAGTGTGACAAACCCATTGGAGACTTCCCTGTTATGATCTGTAGCAGCACCACACCTAATGAGTATATGTCTGATTTCACACCCAACAAGCCCGATTGCTGATACTCAGGGTCAATGTAGCAGAACGTTCCTGCTGCACCTGTCAAGCGATACTGTGTCGTTTTGTCTGCCACAGAAGGGGGAACAAGGCGTGCCAGACCCACGTCACTGATCTTGCTCACGTAGTTCTTGTCCAAGAGGATGTTTGCTGGCTTAAGGTCGCGGTGCACGAGGGGTTCGGGCTTTGTTTGGTGGAGGAAAAGAAGGGCTGTGGCAATCTCTGAGGCTATCTTGAAACGCGTTCTCCATGGAATTGGTGGAGTGTTGTTTTTGTGGAAGAGGCAGTCTTCTAAGCTGCCGTTTTCCATGTACTCATACACGAGGCATCCGTTCTCCGGGCATGCTCCTAGGAGGAGCACCATGCTTGGATGCCTTATGGTGCTCAAAACAATAAGCTGCATAAGAACCATTCATCATGCATAACTAGTTGGTAGAATAAGGGTCTCATTAATATTAGAGATAGTTTTAGAATTGGTAGAGAGAGGTTTTTTTTTTTTTTTTTCTATAAAAAAGATAGAAATGCTATTGTGTCACTATCCAGAAAGTGATCCTAACTAGATTTCTATAGTACACGTGACTTTGACAGACATCGTGTATAGGTTTATCTGTGGCATACTTTGCTCAAGTACAATGTGAAGTCCTGACTAGTGAATTAGTGTTATTCCTTTTATTGAAGTGTATACACTTAATGGTAACAATATGAACACAAATATTTTGTATTAGCTTTTATGTTTTGTCGATAAATAATTGATCCAATTTGTTATGATTAATATTCATGCTCTTTGTTTCTACCAAAAGAAAACTACAGTTACCTCTTGTTGAAATTGCCTCTCTCCATGGACTAGGTCTGGTCTCAAGGCCTTAATGGCAACAACAGTGTGATCAATCACTCCTCTAAAAACAGGTCCATATCCACCTTCTCCAATTTTCAAAGCATCGTGGAAGTTATCTGTTGCAGCTTCAAGTTCTTCAGTTTTGTATCTTCTGTATGGAATACTATTACACACAACATCATGCAATTCTTTGTTCCTCTCTTTTTCCTCTTGCTTGGCTCTTAGTTCGACTTCCTTTCTCTTTCGGATTTCCATTTCTGCCAGGTGCTGTGACATTTCTGCCGACTCCATAGCTGCTTTGGCTTTCTGCCTCTCTACCTCTGCCAAAGCCAATGCAGTCTCTTCAGCATGCCTAGCTTCTTCTACATTGCGTTCCTTTTCTTGTCTAAACTTTTCAAGCACCGTGGCCTAAATGACAAAAACATGTCTTCTAAGTCCTATTTTTCACAGTGATTTATCATAAAAGGCATTAGATCAGACAGAACTTAATGACATGACATTACCTTTTGTTTTGCTATAACAGCTTCTTTGCAAGCCATGCCATACTTCTCCGTTGTTTTCCTCAATTCTAATTTCAATTTCCTCATTTCCATCTCTAAGTCTACCTGTAAGGTAATCCATGCAAAAGGGGAAAAAAACTTAAATATTCACATATGAAAGAAAAAAATTGTATTTTTTATGCTTAAAAACTTTCAACTCATTTCAAATGATTGAAATTGGGAGTGAAGTATCAACTATGTCAATCCAATCTCAAACATTACATCATCTGTTAAATTTTGAAATGCATGCAAACTTGATCATTTCATGCTAATTTGTTATTTTCCTAGATGCTTAACCATGGGAAAAAGAAAGTGATGTGTTCCTTTAATAGCATAATAATCCAGTACTTACTTGGGGTTTTAGAGACTTAGGCTTGTCTGAGTTTACAGCTACTTCATGGTTTCCACGTGACTTATCAGCCATAGGAGAATCAAGCATTTGCCCTGTGTTGTCACTGTTTTCAGAAGAACTTCTAGTTGATGAATTTTGTAATGAGGAGTATTCTTCTGGACCTCTTGGTGAATTGTTACCTTCATTGTGCTTATGCGATGTTGTTTGTTCACGTAAAGATTCCCAAGCTTTGCCGGAGTCCCTCCCAATTGGATCTTTGATTGATTTTCTGTACATTTAAGACAATGTCAAAATGCCAAAAACATATAAATAAGTCAATGAAAGCACCCACCAATCAATAAAATTATAGAAACCATTTAAAACTTCCTTTTCATACTAATAAAAAAATTATATGTTAAGTTCTTAAAACCATTAATTAATGATTTGTATATGACTTTAAACTATTAAAAGAGCTTATCATATTCACACTCATTCACAATCATGACTATGCTAAAAGGATTTTATTTAGATGAGATTTTCCATAAAACTTTAAGATAGAAAAATAAAAGGTTATAAGGAGTCTTAAGCTCAAATAAGCCCCAAAAAAAAATTCTTCCAGGTGTCCTATTCAATAAAAGATGTACACGAGATTCATTCCTAAGATTGACTGTAAAACTTATAAGCTAAAGAAAACTTATATTAACATTTCTTATAAAGTGATAAAGCTACCATCAGGTTTGGGAAGTGAAAAGTGTCTCCGGAAAACAAAAAAAAAATGTAAATATGATGTAATGGTGAACATACATGGTAATATCTTCAGAATCTACAAAGGTCTCTGCAAGATTCATATGTGGATGAACCAATGGGGCATTGTTCAAGAGCGTGACTATGTCTCTTATAGATTTAGTTGGTTTGACCTTAATATGTTGTTGATGGGGATGAATATGTTGTTGATGAGGATGAATATGTTGATGATAAGGAAGACCTGTTGGTCGGATATGTTGTACTTTTCCTTTTGCTATGACGTATAAAGTGCAGTTCTCTGGCAAAGACTTCGATAAACTATTTGGCACATCTGCATCTTTGCTAAATTTCCTGTAGATCAAAATGAAATCACTGGTTAAACTTCAGATAAGGCTTTGTCACTACTCAATCTCTGCACTATAATATGTTCAACACTCACAACCAAGCTGCTAGGAAGCAAGTAAAATATGATGATAACTTTCAAGTGCAAATGCAACCCATTTCCAAGTGAACAAGAAAATGTAGTATTTGAGATTGTGTCCCGTTTAATATTGCAAGAGAATCCATAGCCAAAAGAAAAGTGAATTCGTTAATTAATTATTTTTTATGGCAGTTACTAAATCGTTTGTGATGAAAATTTCACCTTACTGCATTGATAGTCAATTAGCCTAGGCATGATCATATTTTCACCAATACATTGATATTTCCATGCATAAATGTTTATGTGAGAGAGAAGGACCTCATAAAAGTATTCCAGGAGGAAGTATCAGCACCAATAACAACAGTGCTGATACAATTTTCAACGACGTAATCTGTAAGCGCTTTTGGAATATCAATGTCATGCAGGACCAATTCCTTTGCTGCGATCTGAAACGATTAACGTCCATCATAATTATAAACTGTAACAAGATATTTACACTACAATACAAATGTGAGGATTCAGGAGTTGATATTAAAACTATTGAATTCATATATTACTCACCCCTTTTCGAGCACAAAACCCTCTAAAGGGAAGAAATAATTGGTGCAATTCTTCTTCAGTTGGTGTACGACCATGTTTAGGTACGTCAACAACATCATCTGCAAAAACCAAATTTGAAAAGCCATAATACAAACAATTGGATAATTGGGAATGTAACATGAACAAACTACTAGTACGTACCAAGTCATAATACCATAAAGTCTCTAATATCGTATATTTTAATCACCCACTTTTCAATTATTAGCCCTGGTTTGCAGATAATATCACGTCTAATTAATCATTTGGTCCTTATACTTGCATAGAATTCTCATTTTAATCTCAGTCCTAAAAATTTATGAATAATTTTTTATGATTTAGTACTTATGTATTCAATTTGTGGCGATTTAACTCGATAAAAACTAGAGACGAAAACTAAAATATTAAAATTATTATCCTATAGACTAAAACAAAAAATTTTAAATATAAAGAATGAAAGTTGATGGAAATATAGAAATCATAATTAATTAAACCACAATATTATTAAGGGGCTAAGGAGAAGGGTACCTACTGGCATGCATGGACTTGGTCTGAACGTGAATAAGGATACATGAGGAGTTCCTCTTTAGAAGGTGTTCCACAGCCCATTTGACCGCGGAATGGCTGTGCCGGCCGCCACTGACGGCGATGACGGTGGCGTCTCCTGCTGCTACAAGGGATGACGGAGAAGTTTGCATGTGGAACATGTTTGTGAGAAATGGTGTCTCACACGTTGGGAATACAAATAAAAAAGGTACAGAGCAATAAGGTTGTGCCACTCTCATCAGGTTTGTTGTAATGTTGGCCAAACCGTTACTAACACGTAAGATGAGGCTTTTTGCCCTCATGATCTAGCTGGAAGTGAAAAGTTGGATTTCTAGAACACTCTTGCACTAGGGATTAGAAATATGATGACATTGATGAAGTGCCTATATGGGAAAAAAAACAGTAGGTTATCAATTATCATTCTATCTTCATGTTTTTACAAACAACAAATCAAAATGTTACATCATTTGCACCATTTGACATGATTTTATTGTAACAAATTCAAAGATAGAGGGTGAACGTGAATCATATTATATATTTGTATTATTTTTAGAAACCTTACAATATTATCGTAATAGGTCACACTTTGACTTTGTATGCTACGACTAGATTTCTAGAAAAGTGATTAGGAAAATAGAAGGACACGACACATTCCATCTATTTTAATTAGGATATTAAATTATAAATTATAAAAATAAAAAATCTGAAATAATTCTAATAACATGTAATAAAATAAAAACATCCACTGATGTGTATGTCCACTTGTAACCCACGTCGCACATATTTAACTTCAACTGGCAAATGACATACATTAGTCATGTAAGATGTAAGCATCTAACACACTGGATAATGGAACACATAAATCAGATGGAGTAAAATAATATTTATTTATTTATATAAATTTTAGTCATGTAATATAAAAATCTATGTTATACGTTACACGAATTAAAATAATATTTATTAAAAAATGTAAAAAAAAAAACTATATTCAAACTTTTCCTTTTCTAAATTAGGGTAATTAACTCCAAATGAATAATTAATTTAAAACTCGATACTACAAATTTATTATTATTACTCTAAACAAACGCATACAATTCATGAATATAATTTTGACTTATAATATGTACACCGATAAATATTAAAAAATTTAAATTTAAATTTAAATATATTTTTATTCCTCAAAATTGAGATAAGGTTATTTTTTATCCAATTTTTAAATTGATATTTTTATGCCTCTAATTTAAAAGCAACATTTTTAATCACTCATGACCACATGTAATATTAATATCATTGATGATGTGTATAAAGAAATTCAGCTGGTTTAATATAATATTTTTATGATTTAAATATTCTTTTTAATTTCTTAAATTTAGAATAATTTATTTTTGATCTTTTATATTTAAAATTATTATTTTAGTTTTTATAATTTTTAAAATTTATTTTAATTATCAATAATATATTTTAAAAGTGACATATTAAAATAGTTGTGTAGCATCGATTAGATTTAATGTGATATATTCAATAGATAAATTTTATGTGAAGACATTTCACATATTTTCTAACAAATATTAAATATGAGGACTAAAATAACATTTTTTTTAAATTATAGGAACTAAAATCAATAATTTTAAATTTGAGAGACAAAAAATAAATTTATCTTAACACACACATATATATATATACACATATTGTGTGTATTATTATATTACCTAATCGTAATCTTTTTTAAAAGTCTAAAGTTTGACCTTTTATTAAATAAGTCAAATTTTAAACAAGTTAAATCATAAGCCTTTGTTTAAGACTTAACCTTTTCTCATCTCTAATAATTTTTTACATATTTATTCTATTATCCTTTTTATTTAATTTTATTTGAAAAGTTTAAGAGATAAAAAATACGTTTTTTGTTTTCTTCTAATAAATATTGATAATTCTTAAACACTTTTATAAAATAAAATATAAAAAACTCTACTAGTATAAAAGAAGAGGGACCCACTTAAAAAGAGAATTTTATACATTGATTTGAATTTATATAATGAAGTATTAAATAATTTTTAAAATTTTTAAAATATTGCATAATTGATGTATGCATTATTAATTTTTTATTTAATAATTGAATATTTAAAATTTAATATAAAAAATGAGTTAATAATAGATAAACTTATTGTTGGAATAAGTAGATCTTTCCTTTATACAAAATAAGGTATAAATATATGATTTTATTGAATGAATCAACTTTTATATATTAAACATAAATTTCTATTTTGTACGAGAGTATTTTTAGGAACTATTCATTAATAAGATAATTTTTAGAAAATTTTAAATTTTTTATTTAATTTATTTTTTATTTATCATAATTTTTTATAAATTATATTTTAATATTTTAAAAATTATTAATAAATAAAAATAATATTATAATATAATATAAATTATATACCAGAAATTTAAAATATAATTTACATATTTTAAAATATTTATTTATACAAATTTTAAATATAATTATGTGTTGAAACTTAATTTTATTTTAGCCACATTTATTGAAAAGAATATAATAAAAAAATGGATACACGACGTCGTATCCATTACTTCCGATGACCAAGGTATTGTATTTATTTGTTGATTTTGTACTCGCAACCGAAGCGAGAAAAAATCGAGAGTTTTCACTTCGTACTATTCACTTCAGCCATAGTTGTTGCTTTTATGTTCTTATACTTACCGTTCCCAACAAATGAACGCAGCCATGTAGAATCCAAGTGTTTCCCTTTTCTTCTTCAGAAGGGCTTCTCTTTCTGAATTCCCTCTGCTTTAAATTCACAGGTAACTTTTTATTTTTTATGCTATTTTATTTATTTATTTATTCTAATGGAGGAAGGGGGTGGATAATTAGAAGATGGCATTGAAGGAATTCCGTTAATCGAACATGTGATATCACTATCTTTTTTTTTAAAATTTTTTTTTTGGTGATTTTCTTAAATTGTATTAAAGCTTTTGGGAGAAAGCATTTTTTTATTTATATTTTTTCATATGTAGTTTAGATGAGCTAATAACTTTACTTGCAAGGTAGTTCTGGTTTTAGTGTGGTTCTCTTTTCTTTATTCTTATATTGATTTTGAAGTTTTTGCATTATTATGCTTGACTTGTGATTTTGGTATTTGTGTAAATCGGGGTGGATAGCTTGAAATGCAATCGGTGATAGGGAACTGGCTAATGCGAGTGTTTTCTTGTTTTGCCTTGTAAGTTATAAGTGATGGATCCTCCGGCTTGCATAAGGAAGCAAAGCTAAACTATATCTAGAGTTCATATCTGGGCATTGTTTGCATGCTTGGTTATGTTGAATGTCGATTGAAGTAGTAGCTGATAATTCACTTTCCGGTGGGTGTTATCTTTTCACTCACTGTAGATGGATTATATTTTTGTGATATTGAAAAAATAGATGCTTGTTTTATGGCATGTGTTTAATTTCTTAGTTTGATCATCCCCTTTTTCTGAGCTAAAGCACTAGATCCCCTAACAAGCATCTATTTTCAATCCGTGGAGGGTCCACCTCTTAGATGTGAAACTGATTGTAAGTTACGACTGAGAAATCTTGATCTGAAATTGTTCCCTTGAAACCAGTCACGTGTGAAATTCAGGATTGAGATTTGGGATTTTTTTGTAAGGAGGCCACCCCAGCTTGTGGCCGAGGGTACCTTTTAGTGAAATGATGGAATTCCGTGTCATTTTGTTTTTAGTTATCATGTGAAAAGTGCAATTTCTCTTGTTTGTTTGGATGTTTGTTTATACTGTTTGAAAGGACCTCTAATTTGTTTGATTTTGAATATTTTGTTCTCTTTTGTAAGTTAAACACTTAAAAGTTTTCTTCTACTTTAGTGGCTCCAGGTAGGTAGAATTGTGCTCTGAAAGTTTAACCTGCTATTGTAGGATGCTGATTGTATTGATGATTTTTTTATGCAAATGTCATACAAGAGGAATGGATGTGGTGCCAGCCTTTTCTTCAAAATCATAATATTATAATCTCATCATTCATCAGTAGTATTGACTGCCAGCTTTCTTTTTACTGGGGCTTATATTACCATATATAATGCCTCAGAAACTATTAGATAAGCGTGGTTGTTGTTTTAATGCCTCAAAAACTATCATGATGCCACCCTGTCTGTTCAACGCTGAGCCATTAAAGCAGTACATGTTTATCAAACCAATTGTCCTAAACCCTTGTACACTTATTTTCTTACAGGTAGTGAAATAGAGTATGCTAATCTGGTGTTAATCATTAGAGCTGGAAATGATTTTCTGAATTTGACTGACTTGTGTCAAACTATGTATAGTATAGAGATCCTTTTTTATAAAATGTAGGGAGAGTAGTGATGCTTTTCTTATTTTAGCTGAAACTGATTACAAATATGTCAAGAGAGAGAGGAGAGAGAAAAGGATGTAAGGTTTTATCAAACTTTATACTATCTTCTCACTTCTCAAATGATAAAGGAAATACATAAAGGTAAATAACAAAACAGAAAGAAAATAAGGATATATCCAAACCTACCCAGATCCTAACTAAATAACTCCTATCACTCAACAACTTTCACTTTATAAGATTCCCCTGTTTTGATAAACGGTAGCTGTTGGGCCACGAGAGGGTGTTTACTCCCTATTGGGGTGCAGCTAAGTATTCTAGTCCAATTTCAGAACTAGATCTTTCCTGGTGAGAAGA